TTAGAGCGGGGAGGGGCTGGGAGCCAGGACTCCTGGGTTCTTTCCCCAGTGCTGGGAGCGGAGCAGAGCTCAGGGTTTCTAGGCCTGGGCCAGAGGGGGTCGAGAAGACACCGAAGGGGAGCTGTCTCTTGAAAGTCCCTTGATCACATGCTGGCTTTGGGACTGGGGTCAGACCCCATTTCCCCCGAGCCGGTCCACTGAGTCCTGTCCCCCCTTCTCTTGTTCTTTCCCTTCTCTGCAGCTGCCGAACCAGTAACAGGAAGAGCCTGATCCTGACCAGCACGTCCCCGACGCTGCCGCGGCCCCACTCCCCCCTCCCGGGTCACATCGGTGAGTTCCCCCAGCCCGGGACTCCATCCATCCAGCGTCATCCCAGCCATGCTGCTCCGTAGCCAGCAGGGGGAGCGCTTGCCCCCACCACGGGCGGTTCCCTTCCCTCGCTGAGCCCTGGGCTGCTCCCGTCACCCAACGGCTGCCCAGCTCTTCGTCTGGCTCCATCCCTGGAGCCTTGTGTCTGGCTGCCCGTCCGTCCGTCCGTCTGCCTGTCTATTCATTTACCACAGCGTCAGTCTATCCATTCATCAGTCTAGCCAGTCGTCCGTTCCTGAGTCCTCCATCCATCCATCCAACCATCTCTTTCAATCCATCCATCCATCCATCCATCCATCCAACCATCTCTTTCAATCCATCCATCCATCCATCCATCCATCCATCCATCCATCTCTTTCAATCCATCCATCCATCTTTCAATCCATCCATCCATCCATCCATCCATCCATCCAACCATCTCTTTCAATCCATCCATCCATTCATCACTCTAGCCAGTCATTCGTTCCTGAGTCCTCCATCCATCCATCCAACCATCCATCCAACCATCTCTTTCAATCCTTCCATCCATCCATTCATCATTTAAGCAGTGTAGCTATCCTTTTGTCCATCCAGTCATCCATCTGTCTACCAATCCATCCATCCATCCACTGTCCACCTGGCTACAGTACATCCATCCATTCTTCTGTCTTTCAGATCAATCCATCCATTCATCCATCTCCAATCCATCTCCCCATCAAGCCTTCTGCCCATCTATCAGTCTATCCATTCCATTCTTCTGTCAGTCCATCCATCCATCCATCCATCCATTTATCTATCTGCTAATACAGCTGTCTGTCCATGGACAGATTCTCCATCCATCCATCTCTTTCTCATGCCCCATCACCACTTTTTCCAACCGCCAACAACTTTGCCTGACATTAGGGGAGGGGTAGCTCAGTGGCTTGAGTGCTAAACCCAGGGTTGTGAGTTCAATCCCTGAGGGGGCCATTTAGGGATCTGGGGCAAAAATCTGTCTGGGGATTGGTCCTGCTTTGAGCAGGGGGTTGGACTAGATGACCTCCTGCGGTCCCTTCCAACCCTGATATTCTATGATTCTATGACCTGCCGTAATGAATTTAGGCTTACAAAAGTTACAAAATGTCTATTAAAGCTTACAAAAGTATTACTGCCTTCCACCCCATTGGCTGCTCTTGGGAGGAAGTGGGAACAGCAGCCAATAACAATGTAGTCCACCCCCTGTGGCTCTGCCCTCTATGCGGGAAGCATGTGGTGTTGGTGGCAGCCCTGGGATGCTATCCATCGGGGGATGCTAACATGCTCTATGTCTGTCTGTCGTCCCCTGCTCCCTCTCCCTCGCAGGCAGCAGCCCCCTGGACAGCCCGAGGAACTTCTCCCCCAATGCACCCGCCCACTTCTCCTTCACCACCTCGCGCAGGTAAGGGCTGCGCCGCCCCCTTGGTGCCAGTCTCCGGGGAGTGGAACGAGTTTACCGGGCCTCAGCCCAGTTCCCAGGTGTCTTCACCATAAACAACCTTCTCCCTCCACAGCTAACCGACACCCTCCCACCCGCCAGCAGCCTCAGCACAAACACCAAAGCCTGAACTGGCTCTAGAGTTGGGGAGAGAACCCAGGAGTCCTGACTCCCAGCCCCTCCCCCCCGCTCTACCCATTACACCCGACTCCCCTCCTATATCTGATAATAGAACCCAGGAGTCCTGGCTCCCAGCCCTCCCACTCTAACCACTAGACCCCACACCCCTCCCAGAGCTGGGGAGAGAACCCAGGAGTCCTGACTCCCAGCCTCCCCACTCTAACCACTAGACCCCACGCCCCTCCCAGAGCTGGGGAGAGAACCCAGGAGTCCTGGCTCCCATCCGATCCCCTGGCCCACGCAGGAGGCTGCAGCTGCCGCTCCCTGCTCTGATTACAGCCCTGCCCACCCACACCAGCCCCTGCCAAGAACCCGGGGAGAAATGGCGCCGTCTCCTCCTGGTGGGGCTCACCCGGCCGGCGGGTCCTGGCGTCCCTCGGCTGAACCGACTGGTGGAAAGTGCCGCTCCCTTCTCCATTCCGGCCCACGGGGCGCGAGGTCTGTCCCTCCGCATGGCGCCTTCCCCATGCGCCCTGGCGCAGGGACGGGGCGAGGGACTGGTGGAGCCGGCTTGGGCCAAAGCCAGGAAGGGAGTGTGAGCAGGACAGGGCCAGGGAGCCAGGACTCCTGGGTTCTCTCCCCAGCTC